AATAAAATCTTTAAAAAAATAAAATCTTCTAAAATAAATAAATAAATAGATAAATCTGAAATCAATCTAGAATTAATTTTTGTGCCTAGTATGAGGTAAGTCAAGGTACATCTTTTTCCATATGAATATCCAAATAGCTTTGTGTTATTTATTCAAAAGACCATGCTCTGCCTATCTGTGGCTCCGCGGTCCTAAACTGCACTTTTTATTTTCTCTCATTTTTGTCTCAGGTGTATGGAAATACTGATTTTCTGACACGTATGTTAAACTTATAGGCAACAACCCTGCTAATAAATTCACCTACTAATTGTAACCATTAGTATTTAGATTCTGTCACGCAATGACGTCATTCACAGATAATGCCAGCTGTAGCTATGCTTCTCCAACCTGCACACCCCGCATTTCTTTCCTTGCCTGATTGCACTGGGCTGGCTAGTAGTTCCATGTTGGATGGAAGCAGTGATAAACATACATAGAACTTGCCTTATTCCTGATTTTAAAGGAAAGTTCTCAATATTTAACCTGTGAATATGCTGCTTCTCCTACATTCTTTAGAAAGATGGCCCTGCTTCTCCAAGGAAGGGAAATGCTGTGACTACTTTGGCCTGAAAGAGGGGAGGCCTAGCATGGCCCCGCGAACACCCCTGGGGGACCCAGCTCCCCACCACCCGCTGGGGGACCCAAGTAGGCCACATGACCTCAAATGAACCCCTGTTCTCCAGCTGTGCCTGGGGAACAGCCTCACCACCCCTGTTCTCCCTGCAGCTTTGTCCTGAGTATCAAAAAGAGCTTTCTAAAGCCTAAAGGACATCGCAAGGTAAGAAAGACCACGGCCTCGATGCCCACTGTTTGCAAGAGCAAGGATGGCCTGGGGGAGGGTGTGGGGCCCCTGAGCTGGGGTGTGTGTGGTGTCGGGGTGGGGAGGTGGGGGGGGGAGGGCAAGGGGAGCAGAGGGCCTTTAACCCCGGCCTGAGCCTGAGCCGGGCCTGGGGCTAGGATGTTAGAGCAGAGGTTTTCGAACCAAAGAGAATCAGCTTCCCCTGGAGTGTTTGTTAAGCACAGATCAATGCTCCCATCCCCAGAGCTTCTGTTCAGTAGGTACCAGGGACTGACCGTGCCCCCTCCAAATTCATGTGTTAAAGTCCTACCCCCCACTGGGATGGTGTTTGGAGGTGATTAAGGCCAGATGAGGTCATGAGGGTGGGCCCTCAGGATGGGATGAGTGACCCCAGGGTTCCTGCCAGCTCCGGGGCTGTGGGTCTGGGCTGACTTCAGGACACACCCCCTCAGAGCCCTGGTTGGGGGCAGGAATCAAGGAATCAGGTTGGAGCGTGGCCCCTTCCCTCCGTGCTTCCCTACTTCAGGTGGGACGCCTGATCCCCCAACAAGCTAGACTTCCTCTAAGGACTTGGAGCAGAGTAGAAAGAGTCCCTTTTCTCCAGGGACTCAGCACACATTATGGAGACCACTGTTTCATAGGCAGGCCCCTCTGTGTCCACACTGTGGAACACATTTTGGCTGAGACCAGAAAAACTGTGATGGCTTCCCCTGCACGGTGACAATGCCATCCCGGGCTCAGGCTGGTTCTCCAGCAGCCCTGTCTGGCCTCCCCCATGGTTGCTGAAGACGGATTCCCAATCAAACCAAAAGCTGGCTGACTCAGCTCCTAGGCAATCAGAAGCACCAGGCCTCTCTAATTAAGCAGCCAGCCCCTCTCCCTTCCCACCACAGCCCTCTCATAATGAGGGCTGGCAGCCCGGGCGTGCAGACCCAATTACGGAGGAGGTCACCGCACCAAGCACACCCCACCCCCGGCTCTACTGGCCCATTCATTAGCTTGTGGCTGCTGAATGCGCCAGCTTCTTGCTGGGGACAGCTCTGTGTGGCCAGGAGCATCTGAGACTTAGATCTGGACACTTCCCATGTCAGAGATCTCCCAGCATCCCCTCTGCAGCCTGCTCCTGCCCCCACACTCAGACTGCAACCCACGCCCGCGTGCACAGAAACAGCACTTACTGGCAGGCACAGGAGGACCACGGCCCCCCATCACACAGGACGGACCGAGTGACCCTCCATCACCCACCTGCTGCTGAGAAGATGGGTTCTCTTAGACGATGGGGCTCCCATGCTGTGCTGCCTCATCTCCAGCCCTACCATCTCATCCCCAATGACAGGCAGTGCTAACTTGCCTCCCACGGTCACTTTATGTCCCCCTGCCATCTACTCACCAGACAGCAGTGAGGCTCATCACTTATGAAGACAAATCAGATCATGTCACATCCTGCTTAGAACACTCCACTGGCATCCCACGAAACCAAATCTCAACTCCTGACCTTGACTTACGAAGCTCCTGTGTGATCGGCATGCCCGCCTCTGCCCCAGATGCCTTCATCAGTTCCTCGAACCTGCCCAGCTGCTTTCCCACCTCAGGAACTTCATGCTCGCTGCTCCCTGTGCCTGGAACACTTTTCCATATAGATCTTCCCAGGGCTGGCTCCTGCTTGCACTCGGGTCTGAGCTCAGAGAGGCCCTCCTAGTTGTACCCTACCACACTGCTCTGTTCTAACTCACTACAGAGCCCTCAGTCTATTGGATAGTATTTTGTTTGTTTGTTGTCTCCCTTTTCCCACTCCTGGAAAAAAAATCTCCATGAGAGCAAGGGTTTTGTCTCTCTTGCTCATGGTACTGCCAGCACCTAGAACAGGGCCTGCACACAGCGGGCCCTCTACTATTTGCAGAATGAATGGATGAATGAATGAATGAATGAATGACACAATCTTCTCAAGGATGGAGAAGAAAACACCCAAATGCCTGCTAGTACCCACTCCTCCTTCTACCCAGGAGCAACTTCCCTTGGAAACCCAAAGGCCTCTTCACCTTGCTGCTCAAGCCAAGACCAGGTCCTCAGCCTGCTGCAAAATAAGAACAATTTCAAACTGGACCAACCCAGGGGCACCTGGGTGGCTCAGTCGGTTAAGCGTCTGCCTTAGGCTCAGGTCATGATCCCGGGGTCCTGGGATCGAGCCCCAGATCAGGCTCCCTGCTCAGTGAGGAGTCTGCTTCTCTCTCTCCCTCTCCCTCTGTGTGTGCTCTCTCTCTCTAGCTCTCACTCTCTCTCAAATAAATAAATAAGATCTTAAAAAAAACAAAACAAAACTGGAACTGCCCAGTACTCCAGGGTACAATGGGGTGGGGAGTGTTAAGAGCATCCAGAAGAACATTTTTTACCCTCCCTCCCCATGCAGCTGAGATCCTTCCCTGGGAAAGGCTCTCTAGGGACCCTTCAGCAGTCAGGACAGCAGCCTGCCCCTACAGCAGAGGTCCCAGACTTTTTCAGGGGAAGAGACATGGCTCTGCCCCCTCGTCATGGTCCTGCAAACCTAAACATTTACAGCAGTTGTGGGTTGAGGGGCAGAAAGAGGAAATAGGCTGCTGGGCCCTACTCTCCTAGGCAGAAGTCACAAAGTATAACCCAATCTGCCCAAGGGTTGGGAGCAAGACATTCCGACACCCTTTGCCTACTGCCTATGTTGGTATCTAGTCCAGGGCCTATGGAGGGCTTAAGTAGGAGTTGGCACACAAGTGCCCACCCCTATCCTGCCACCCAGGCCCCTGCCACATCTCCACCATTCTTGGGACCCTTCACCAGCAAATCCACATTCCTTAACCCAGTTCACCTCATGTCACAGAGCAGGGGGGAAATGATCTTAGCTGAAATCCTGGTTTTTCCACTTACTAGTTTGGTATATTGACCTTTTTGCAAGTGGGTTCTCTCATCCAGCTTTTGAATGCCACTCAAAATTACCTTATCAAGGTGGCCAATGGCTTTCATGTGGCTAAGTACTTCTTTGACTTCTCTATACTCTATGGTCCTCTCAGCTCTAGCCACCCCACACCACCCCATCCCCAATCTTCTGTTTCCTGTTATTTCTTCCTAGAATGTATTACTTCCTGTAATGTTTTTATTTATTTGATCATTATTTGGTTTCAGTTCCTTCACCCAACATAATCTCAAGAGAGAAGTTTCTATCTCTGTCTTATTGACCAAAATAACTCGAGGCTTAAAACACATGGAAGATGGGTACCAGTAAAACTAGAGTGAAAAAGAAAGGAAAGAGAAAGATATGGTATCTTGGGAAGAGCTCTCTAACCTAGGAGGGCAGTAAAAGGAAGTCCCATGATGACAGCTATGCAGCAACTAGTCTATGCTGGAGTATGACTAAAGGTCTAAAAGGGGAAAAACATGTAGGCTCCGTGCAATAGACAGTAAAATTGAGATGCTAAATAATCCTAAGGATTGGAAGGCACATTATTCTTGGGTCAATAAGAAAAGAAAGGCAATTAGAAACTCCAGGAAAAATAAAAAGTTATTTTAAGAAGACTGGGACTTAATCTGAAACAATTTAATATGTGGCACCATTTACAGTAATCAGTGGAGTATAAGAAAAGGGAAAAATCCATTTGACTTTGCAGCAAAGATCATTCTCATGTGAGGGATCAGGGATCGAGAGCAGATCAACAGAATAAGAAGTATAACCCTAGCATACCATTTGGCCCTGAGGAGAATTTTATTTCTTTAATAACCCTAATAAAATTTACTGAGTACTAATGTGCCAGACAAGGTTTTTAAGACCTATGCATATAATATTTAATCCTCACAATTTTCTAAGGTACATGTTATCATTATCCCTATTTTACAGATGAGGAAGATGAGGCTCAACAGAGTAAACAAGTTTTCTGAAGTCATCCAGCTAGTGGAAAAGCTGGGTATGAATTCATACCCAGGACTGTGAGACCCAGAGGTCCATTTCCCGGAGTTGGCCCTAGAAGCCAGGCCATTCAACCTTAGGCCCTAATTCTCCTTGCCAAGAAGCACAGGATACCATATGCACACACAGGCACACAAGGACACACAAAGACACATACAACATACACTCCTGGGAGCCAGGGTGCAAAACTGCAGAGCAGGTCCAGATTGGGTAGCCAGAGCAGGGTCTTACCTTCCTGCAGTCTTTGCAGAACACTGATGAACTTCCCAGGAAGCCCAGCACCTCCCCACAGAGCAGACACTGGGAAAGGCCATTCCCCATCACGTTCCGCCTCATGGTCTCCAGTCGCTCCACCAGTCGTCTGCAGCACAGGACACAGAGTCAGATGGAATGTGATTCCTGTCTCCAACCTGACCACTGCCCAGGTATGGCTGCCATGAGGCCCCAGCACTATACCATGGCCCATGTGCTGTTCCCTCACCTGGGATACTGTTCCCTGCCCCACCCCTTTTCCAGGCTACCTCCTAACCATTCATTTGCTCACCAACTATTAATTGAGTACCTACGATGTGCCACGCCCTGGGGATATTGTAGCAAACAAGCCAGAGACAGACATGGTCCCTGCTCTCAAAGAATGTATGTTCAATAAAGATAAAGTCCATAAAAAGTCAACAAGCAAACTGACTTCAGACAGAGTGCTGTGAATTCAAGTAAGTGTGTGTGTGGGGGGGGAGACTGAGAGGCAGCATGGCAGGTGGTGATCAGTGAAGGCCTCTCTGAGACCGTGTGACCTGACAGCTAAAGGATGACAAGGCCAAACCAGGTGAAGAGCAGGGCAGTGGGGGGGGGCACTCCAGGCAGAGGGAACAGCTGGCAGGGGGGCAAAGACAAAGGCCTTGGCTCATGAGAACAGCAGGGAGGCCGGTGTGGCCATTCCCTGGAGGGGCGAGGAGGGGACAGATTACATGGGTTTTGTAGGACACAAAATGGAGTTTGAATTATTTTCTAAGATCAACATGAAGCCACTGAAGAGTTTTAAGTAGAGAAGGGATTTCATCTAAGGGACATTTTGATCTTTTTAATTTTAACTTTTAAAAGTATTATTTACTTACTTACTTATTCATGTAAGTAATCTCTACACCTGATGTGGGGCTCCAACTCAGGACCCCCAGATAAAGAGTCACGGGCTCTTCTGACTGAGCCAGCCAGGCGCCCCCTAAGTGGCAGTTTTAAAAGCTCACTCCAGCCGCTGTGGAAAGCCAGGACTACAACGAGGGAGTGCAGGTGAGGAAGCCAGCAGGAGAGGCTGGGAGGCCCAGCGAAGGGGCACTGAGGCAGCATCCATGGAAATGGGGTACAGGAGGTAAGAGAGAGATCCGGGATGATGTAAACGTTTTGGTCTGAGCAAGTGTGTGGATGAAGAAGCTGGAGGAAGAAAGAAAAAGAGCTTCTCTTTAACCTCTGATGCCAAGTGTCCTGGAGCCATCCGTGAACCTGCTAAGCCTAGGATAGGTGACTCTCCTCAGGATCCCATGGCCCCTCAGCCCACTGTGACTCCCTCTTTTCAGAGCAACACTGCAACCCTCACAAAACTGGTGGCCACTTCTGTTTTGTTGGCCACTGTGTCTCCAGTCCCCAGGGGACACTCAGGGAAAATTCTTGAATGAAGGAACACAGGACAGAGTGCAGGTACGTCTCAACCTCCCAGGGAGGAGGAGGCTATTTTCCCCCATTTTAACAATAAGAAGACTGAGGCTCAGAGATATAAAGTCACTTCCCACCAGCGTTACACAGTTTCTAAGAGGTGGAGCCCAGGGCCCAACACCGAGACCCCCCGCTCCCTACACTCTCCCTGGAGGTGATCAGGCTCTGCCTGGGGGCCAAGGGGGAGCTGCCTCTACCTACACGCCCTCTGAAGTCCGCAGAGGTCCCTTCCACACTGTCCCTCACCCAGGAACCTGCAAGGCCCCAGGAATAAGCCCAGCTTGAGCTCTGGCCTGAACTGCTTGTTCACAGGGGCCCTGTGAGTACAACCCTTCTAACTCATGGAAACATACAGGATACACCTCCTCCTTCTGAGACATTTAGTCTGAGGCACCGCCTTCTGGGTCATTCCACATCTCTGTCAAACCCAGTGTTCACAGTGGGGACCAGACAGATGGATGAGGGGGTGCAAACCCTTCCCGCTGCATCAGGGAGCCCACATGAAACACCCCCACCGGCTCCCAGCATGCCCTACTGGGGGAGCCTGAGGGATGCGGCGCTGGCTTGTCAGTCATGAGCGTGGGGCTGCACAGCTCCTTGTAGGACCCTAGGAGAGGGCAGGGTCAGGCAGCTTATATGGGGAAAAAAAGCTGATATACACCCTTTTTGTAATAAAACGACAGTAACACGTCCATATTATTGAGGCACATATAACAAACTAGACAGCAGGGTCCTTGCAGTGGTGCTTTCGCTTTTAGAACTGTGCATTTCTACAGTGTCTGACTTTTTAAATGATCACATATTTAATGAAAAAGATGAAAAGAAGAAGAACAAGGAGATCAGAATCAAATTAAATCCTGCCCGATGCGATGCACTGCATTTGTGTTTCCCTACTTGTGTTTTTCTGTGTCTTTCCAATTTTCTAGGAAGTATGAATTGCTTTGGTAACTCAACAAACAAAAAAAGAGACACGACCAAACTGTCTGAAGGCTGTATAGGGGTCAGCTTGGGATGCTGGAGGCCAGCAGAAGAGCTTAGAACAAGCTGGAGAGCATCTCTTCTTGGAGTCCTTGCTGGGGCAGGACCGTCCAGGCTCAACTTCCACTCAAATCCCTCCTGCGGCTGGACCATGGCTGACCCTCCCGTGTGTGGCGCTGAGGAGCCCCTCACGATGCTCATTCATCCCCCCCACGGCCTCGGGCCCACGCAGGAGCCACTATCCACTTCTCACAGAGGAGTGTACGGACGCTTTGCGGGGCTGGGTTATGCATCTACACCCCAGGGGTGTTTGGGCAGAGTGGACTCACTCCCTGCGGTGAAAGCCAGCGCTAGGACCCAGGGTGCCACTCTCAGCGCCCCCCCCCAATTGACACTAAATGACTTTGCTTCCCTCTCAAGGATCTTGCTCCCTCCCGCCCCAGCTCAGAAGCAGCCCTTACCCGATTCTCTGCTGCTCCATGACATCCAGCCGCTCTGCCCTCTGGATGACCTGCAGGATGGCCTCCACCTCGGCTGGGCTGAGGCACTGGCTCTTCCTTTGCTTCTCTGTCTGGTAGGTGTGCACAGACCAGCCCGTCTGCAGCCTGGAGAAAGCACAACCGGCCCTGAAGCCACCGCAGTGCAAACTCAAGCGGCCCCACCATATCCCGAAGCCCCCCGCCCCAGATCAGTCTGGGGACAGCCCAGGTGCTGTGTGTCCAGAAGAGGGGTTCAGGGAACAGGGCAGATGTTTCGAGTGCTGGCTCTGACACCTGCCAGCCAGCGGGCCCCACAAAGACCAGCGGTGCCACCTTAGCATGGCAGGAGGCAGGAGTGTGCGGTGCGACCCTCTGGACAGAGAAGGCCACTGCCACAGCATGTGGGGCTGTGAGGGAAGAGCGCAGAAGATCAGCAAGATAGATCTGGGGGCGCCTGGGTGGCTCAGTCGGTGAAGCATCTGCCTTCGGCTCGGGTCAGGGTTCCAGGGTCCTGGGATCGATACCCGCATCGGGCTCCCTGCTCCGCGGGGAGCCTGCTTCTCCCTCTCCCTGGGCCCCTCTCCTCCCTTGTGCTCTCTCTCTCTGTCAAATAAATAAAATCTTTAAAAAAAAGACTGAGTCTGCGGCATCTAAATGAAATGGAGCTTACTGGGGATAGGAAAGAATGGTAATTAGATCAAAAACGAACCCTGAGTATGAAAGGAGATGCCCACAGCAGTTTGCAAACGAGAGGGTTTGAGGGCAGGGGGGCAGTGCCGCCGCACAGGAGGAGAGACCGGAGGGGAGGTGAGGGGGCAGGAGGGCACCTCCTGAGGCTGCGCCCAGGGGCTGAGGGGAAGACCTCATGCCCTTCCTATCTTTGTGGAGGGAATGGGACTGGCAGCGGTGGACCAAGACCCAACTCTCTGCCCAGGGTCCCAGCCGGTCTGAGACATTCTGCGCCAGGTGCTAGGAACACGGAGGCGGGCCACAGGCAAAGTCACCACCTCGAAGAATGACGATAGGCTTGGGGACATAAGATGCCCAATCAGTGACACCAATATTTACTTAATGAAAAATGAGAAGAGCTATTTCGTTTAAGACCTATTTACTGGGCACCCACTCCAAGGCCAGGCTTGGTAGGTGTTGGGGACATGCTGCTGGACTTCCCTAAAGAAGGGACAGCAAGCAAGAGTCTCTGATGCAGGACACAGGGCAGGAGGATGAGGCTGTGGACACCTTCCTGGTGTTCCCTGACACAGACGGACATTGGTGGTCTCACTTCACTGCCCCATCTGGGCTACTGCAGCCAACAGTTCTCGTAATTATCGACATGGTGTATGTCAGGGGAGCTAAAGAACATGTCCTTCCTCTGTAAGTCCAGCAGGCTGGTTAAGATGAAGGGCTCAGACCGGAATCCACTGGATGGTCTTACCTTTGGCTCGGTCCCTTCCCAGCCGTGAGAATGTGGGCAGCTGCTCATCCCGGGTTTCCTGATCTGTCCTTTTAAGGGATGCCACGCGGAGTAAACGAGGCAGGGTATACCAAGTGCTCTGCATATAGCAAATGCCCAATTGCTTAATCAGTGGTACTTAATGATGATTACTATAATTCTCACAGGCAGAACCATCAGGAATGGCTTGACCAAAGAAGCAGTGCTCCTGCAGGGTTTTGCGAGATGAACAGGTGTTTCCCCCACAGAAAGAAGGACATGGTGTTCAGGCAAAGAAAAGCCACAGGTGCAAAGGTGCAAAGACATAAAGTGAGGTGCCATACCGAGGGTCTCCAGACTTCTGGACTGCCTATGTCTCCAGGTCAAAAATAAGCACTGCCCTAGACCAGCACTTTTTGCAGCGGTCCTCACAGGGCTGGGGGAAGCGAACAGCGGGAAGGGGGCAGGGCCAGGAGAGAGAGGAAGGGGGGCCAGTCCTTGGAGTGGGCAGGGGCACATGCCCACCTTTCCTCTGTGTACTGAGCAGACTTGAGTGGTTTAGGCCCAGAAAAGCAACACTCGCCCACCCCGAGCTGCAGGTTTTCTCCACCTGAGTATTGCAGGGATTCAGGTAGGCGGGGATTGGCCAGGACACCCTCTGTGTGTGACTCCCGGGGCCAGGGAAGGAGAACTGGAAAACAGGGACCCTAAGCTCAGGCCTCCCACCCCGTGGGGAAAAGGCGGGCCCAGGAACACAGAAACAGGAGGGCACGGCACCAGCACCACCATCCATCCTGGAGGATGCAACTCCTACCCAGCTAGCTCCTGGCACCAGCCCAGAGCACAGCAGACCTCCTCGCACCAGACCCTCCTGTCATCACCCAAGGCCAGCCTCCCCTTCGGCCTCCCCTTTTCTCAGCAGAGGAAGCTGAGAGCAGTTAGATGGCTGGCCAGCCTCCTGACCCAAGGAGTCCATGGTCAGCGGCTGCTGATAGCCCTGCCTCCCTCTCCCTCTTCCTCCCCCTCCCCTGCTCACGCTGCCCCCAAAATAAATAAAATCTTAAAAAAAAAAAAAAAAAGGACTTCTCTTAGATTCCTGGTCAAGATCCCCTCCAAGATGGGTTGAGTACATTCTCAGATTTCCCAGAAAGTTCAGGCATAGCTCCACCATGGGGCTTTAGCATTATTTCAAGGCCAAGTAGGACCCTCTGTCTCCTCTCTAGAATGTGAGTCTGGAGGACCAGCCCTCCACCATCTGGCTCCTGCCCACTTCCCCAGCTTCCTTTCACCTCATTCACCACCTCACTCTGTACTCAAGCCACACTGGCCTCCTGTCAGGCCCTCTACATGTCCTGTTTCTTCTACCTCAGGGCCTTTGCACATGCTGTACCTTCTGCCTAGAAGCTCCTTTCCCCTATTTCCATCTAACATTTACCCCTACTCCAGGACTCAACATAAACATCACATTCTCAGGGAAGCCTCTCCAAATCCCCAGGTTAAGCTAGCACCTGCCTTCACCCCACTGCCTGTTTCTGCTGTCGAAGTAGCTGCACATGGGTAATTATATGTATAATGCTCACCTCTCCCCACCAGTGCCTTAAGACAAAGGACCACATTGGTCTTGTTCACGGCTGTGCAATCGGTGCCTGGCACATAGTAGGGGTTTAGAAAATGTCTGATGGCGCTGGAGGACAGACCTGAGCTGAAGCCAGGGAAGGTAACTTCCCCAGGCCTCCCAGAGGAACCCTCGGGGCACAGGACCCGGATTCAAGATTTGTAGTATTCTCCTTTATGGAGCCTGGCATTACAAGGCAGCACACCCTGGGGAGGAGATAAAAGCATTTGCTCTACTAAAAGATGCTACAACAGCTTCCGGCTGCTGCTGAGTGCAAGACAAGGTCAGGGAGAAGTGAAGGAAATGCCAGAGGGGTCACCAGGGGTCACACTGAGAGCACAGCAACCCCAGCTCCTTGTACCCTGCCAGGGAGGACCCATCATCTCGCCTGGCATTGGAGCAGAGAGGGAGAGCTGCTGGCTTCATCCCTGCTCTACCCCCCCACGGGGGCTGTGCAGGGGGCTGTGCAGGGGGCTGAAAGGAGCCAAGCCATCCCGGTGAGAGGGACAAATTAACTGTTGCACAGAGATTCCTGCAAATCATGCAGGACTCCACTCTTGGGCATTTCAGATTAATTTTTCTATCCCTCTTTGATGTTTCAGCTCTGTCCCCCTGCAGGCCTGTAACATCTAACTGCAAATTTCTTGAACTTGGTCCCATTTGGGAAATGCTGGCTCCCATAATTGGTGTGGTTTGACAGATGAAGAGGCATTCTTGGGGCCTTATCAGACACCAGGGACCTCCAAATCCCTGGATGGAGAGGGAAGCCTGGAAGGCAGGAGAGGCATCTGGGAGGCCCTGGTCACCAGCCATAGGGGGAAGGGAAAGTGGGTAGAGATGGGCTGACCTAACTGGGTCTGAGGGGTCACCAGGCTGAGGGATCACAGGAAAGCTGGGACCTGAAGGGGACAAACCAGAACCAGAGAGACCCTGGCAGTATACTGGAGGGGCTGGGGACGCTTTGAGGCTGGCTGTGTTTCAGCCCGGCGGGCAACTCTTGGTTCACTTGATCAGCCTTTGCTCTGTCCTGTCAGTGTGAGGCCCTCGCCATGAAGCGGGCATCCAGGTATCAAAGGCTCCCCACCTCCAGGGGCTCGGGGACTGAAGGCTCAGTGACGTACTCTCACCAGAGAAGGCAGAGGAAGTGGTTTGGCACCCTGCAGCCTGCCATAGGCCTGGGAGTCAGGGGGGCCTGGGCGTGGGTCCCCGGCTTGCCATGGGCAAGGAGCCCAGCCTCCCTTTCCTCCTCCGAGAAATGAGGGTACATTCCACATGGCAAATGAGTGAATGGCTGTTCAGTGCCAACCTCGGGACCTGGAGTGTGGTGTGCATTAGACATGCACTTGTCTCCAAACTTCTCTTTCTGGGTCCCTGATATTGACTCTTGCCCCCAGAAGGAGGGAAGCGGGGAGAGGGAGGGAAGGCTGGCCTGGTAGGGCCTTGGAGATACTCACTTGGCTCGCAGGGCGAGCTGCCGATCGTTGGGGCAAACCCACTGGTCGTTCCCACTGCCGAAGATGGTGTCGGCCATGGCTCCGAGTGCCCAGCCAGGGCCAGGAGTCACATCTGAGGTGAGAAGGGGGAAAAATCAAGAGCACATCATCAGCTGGGGTGCAGACAGCAGCCAGGGTCCCTCAGGCACCAAGCACTGGCACTTCCGGCGCATCCCTGTATCTGGCCGCCTGCAGATGCCTCACCATCAGAATCCTCTGGCTAAATACTGTTCCCTCAAAGCTCCTCTTTCGAAAGGATCGTAATTCGGGGAGGGTTGACTAGGTGGCTCATGCGGCTAAATGACCAGATTGGACATGACTGGCAGGACATCAGAAGTTGAAGCAGGGGCGCCTGGGTGGCTCAGTCATTAAGCATCTGCCTTCGGCTCAGGTCATGATCCCAGGGTCCTGGGATCGAGCCCCATATCGGGCTCCTCGCTCAGCAGGAAGCCTGCTTCTCCCTCTCCCACTCCCCCTACTTGTGTTCCTTCTCTCACTGTGTCTCTCTCTGTCAAATAAATAAATAAAATCTTAAAAAAAAAAAAAGAAGAAGTTAGAAGCAGAAGCGGGGGTGGGGAAGGGGCACAAGTGGAGGGCACTTGACTCCTGCCTCTCCCAAGTACAGCCCCTACCGTACTGAGCACAGTGCCGAGCAGCAGGGGCTGGGGCCGGGGGGCACACAGCTAAACAGCCCGGGGAAGCCGTATGCCCCCTCCCAAACCTGGGGGACCCACCGTGGCTGCTCCAGGTCCACGGGTGTAGCTAAAGGTGGCCACCTTCGCAGGTTCTGCTCCCCAACATGTTCTGCCAACCATCACAGGGCTCCCCAGAGCAGGGAGGAGGATGGGGAGCCACAGCTACGGCCAGGACTACAAGGAAGATGGCACCTTCGGGAATCCTGCAGGGAGGCCAACCTGCTCCAGAACTTCCTGGTGCTTTAACGTGCACGGTCTAGCTCAGCTGCCTCTCTCCTTGCCACCAAGGCTATGACCAGCTCTTTGATGATCTAGCATAAGGGTACTGCATATGTATGCTGGAGTGTGTGTTGTGGGGGGGGTTGGGGGGAGAGCAGGGGGATGGTAACTCAATCCCAGAGCAAAGATGAAGGGCTGCACTGAGTTACCCACACTGCCCTGGCCCAATCCCATCTAGACCAACAGATCTCAAACACAGGAATCCTTCATACCCTTAAAAACTACTGAGGTTGGTGGGGTGCCTGGGTGGCTCAGTCAGTTAAGCGTCTGCCTTCAGCTCAGGTCATGATCCCAGGGTCCTGGGATCGAGCCCCACATCAGGCTCCCTGCTCAGCGGGAAGCCTGCTTCTCCTTCTCCCTCTGCTTGCTGCTCCCCCTGCTTATGCTCTCTCTCAAATAAATAAAATCTTTGAAAAAAAAAAGCTTGTTTATGGATGTTCATAGCAGTATTACTCATAACAGCTAAAAGTGGAAATAATTCCAGTATCTGCCAACTGATAAATGGAGATCATTTGGCGTTACCCATACACAATGGAATATTATTTGGCCATTAAAAGTGAAGTACTGTTATAGGCTATAATGTGGCTGAACCTTGAAAACATTATGCTAAGTGTAAGAAGCCAGGCACAAAAGGGGCACCTGGGTGGCTCAGTCAGTTAAATGTTCGGCTCTTGATTTCAGCCCAGGTCTTGATCTCAGGGTTGTGAGTTCAAGCTCCACACTGGGCCCCATGTGGGTATGGAGCCTACTTAAAAAAAAAAAGCCAGTCACAAAAGATCACATGTTGTATTATTCCATTTACAAGAAATGTCCAGAACAGGCAAATCCAGAGGCGGCAAGTAGATTAATGGTTGTCAGGGGCTGAAGTGCAGGTGGCGGGAAGAAGGAATGAGTTTCTGCTAATGGGTTCAGGGTTTCTTTTTGGGGTCATGAAAATATTCTGGAATTAGGTCATGGTGATGGTTGCACAACTTTGAGAATAAACTAAGACCAATGAATATCCTTCTAGAATGTGAATTTTATGGTATATGAACTATATCTCATTAAACGGTAATAAAAAATTATTGAGAACACCAAATTATGTGGGCTATATCTATTGATACTTACTACATTAGAAATTAAAACTGAGGAAAAAAATTTAATTTTAATTCATCAAAAAACAATAAACCCATTAGATGTTCATGTATTTTATTTAGAAAGCTGTATTTTCAGAACAAAAAACAACTAGTGAAAATAATGGCTTTGTTTTACATTTTTAAAAATCTGTGTAATGTTTGGTTTAACAAAAGTCATCTGGATGTTCATATCTGATTTTTTGTTCAATCTTTTGTGATTATGTGGTTTTGTTCAAGTGCATGATGGACGTCTAGACTCTCACAAATATGTACTACAGTTGGAGTATTTTAACAGTCTTTCCAGATAGTTGTGGATATTCTTCTTTCATAGTGTACCAGATTCAACAGATGGTAGTTTCTTAAAGATTAGTTCAAATGTGGCATCTGAAACCATATTAATGAACTTTTCCTTTTCTGTACATTTGTGAGAGAATGGGATGCAGCATTTTATTGTTATTATGAAAATGGTTTGAGAACTACTGTTCCAGACCAACGTCACCGATTTCTATCATGACCAGCAGCAGGGGGCAGCGTGTTGGCTGTAGCCACAGAGACCAAGCCCATGACCTTGACTGCAGTGGTCTCTCTATCCCATGCAGCACATCCAAGCACCTGCTCTCCACTGTCGGCCACCTTGGGAGAGAGCCCTGGGCACATCCAGACCCTAAAGAGCCACGTGTGGAGACCCCATGGCGAGGCCCAGCACTAGGATGCCACCATCACCCAAGGGCCTCCTCAAATCAAGTCTTGACCTTCTCCCAAATGAGGCTAACATATGATCCAGGGAAACAGACAGGGTGAGAGAGGAAGGGCCACACTTTAGGAAACTGCCAACGGAGCCAGCTTAGGTTCTCCAAATCTCTTCCGCCTGAGCCACCAGCTCCCTGACTCGCCAGCCTTGCAAGTCCTGTCCCTGGCTTCCTGAACCCTCTTCATCCAGGGGGCTCCTCTGCCAGGCTGTATGCTCACCACCAACCAACACACACCAGCTGGGGCTCTGCTCCCCTCCAGTGGCGGCTCCGGGAGGAGGGCCAGGGAGGGCCCCTTCCCAAGGCCCCGTGCGCTCTTAAGAGCTGGGTCCTTAAAGCTTCCAAAGAGCAGGGCCATGGGAGTTGAACGTGGACCGCACTCTTGCATGAACAAACGCCAATCTGTCCGGGTCAAAAATCAACTGACGGGGCCCCTGGGTGGCTCAGTCGCTTGGGCATCTGCCTTCGGCTCGGGTCATGATCCCAGGGTCCTGGGATCGAGCCCCGCATCGGGCTCCTGCTCAGTAGGGAGCCTGCTTCTCCCCCTCTCTCTGCCTGCCTCTCCGCCTACTTGTGCTCACGCTCTCACGCTCTCTCTCTGACAAATAAATAAATAAAATCTTAAAAAAAAAATCAACTGACATGGGAACCAAACAGGGGCTTAAGAAGGCAAGTGAAAAGGCAGGAAATGCAAACCACACATTCTGGGGGAAAGAGGGACGGGGCTGAGGGCCTAGAGAGAGAAGCAAGGCGGCAGGGTCTGCGGAAAGAGGGTTGCTGCGTGGAGCTCCGGCCTCCTCTGTCAACCAGGGGAGAACAGGCAGCCGGGGCCAGGCCTGTCTCTGAAGTCCTTCCAGCTGCGAGGGGGATATGTGGTGTGCACGTGTGCACACAGGCATGTGCGTTCTGCCGAGGACGGAAGACTGGTCCGGGGGGGAGGTGGGCTCAGACCTGGGAAGCCAGAGTCCCCCCACTCTACTGACAACATGCTCCCACCCCCCCCACAGGCCTGCGGGCTCCCTGGGGAGCCCGTGTCCTTTTACCTTGTCCATCCCTGGAGCCCAGCACAGGGCCTGCTACAAAGTAGGTGCTCAGCAAAACTGACTTCATCAAAGAGATGGCCGTTCCCAGACAAGGAGCAGTACAGACAACAAGCCAAACGTGCTCAGAGCAGAGCTGGGCTCCAGCCATGCTCTGCAACTTGCTCGCTCACAAAACAGTTTGTTCCTCAGGACTCCCCACAGGGGAGTCAGCACCCAGAGCCACCTCCCTGCCGAGAGGCCCGCGTGCCATAAGGCTGGGGTGCCGGGCCTCCGGGGGCTGCCTCCAACCTGCGGAACGAGGCCCCCTGCGCCAGTTGAGGCTGCGCCCTCAGGAGCGCCTGGGCTCAGGGGACACCCTCCCTCCCCCGGGAGGGGGTACCAGGAACAGGGAACAGGAAATGCCTGGTGCTGGTTTCCTGAGACAATTCTGTGGGGAAGGAGTCCATGAGCCTCAGGCAACTTTCTGAGGCAGATCGGTGAAAACAAACCCATTCTTCCAGGGAGATTCAATTCTCCCCTCCCTCAAGCCCAAAGCTCGCCACCCTGGGTGTTAGTCACTGCGGACAAACGTTGCATTCACAGCCGGCTGTCCCCACTGGGCAACAGCCATGATGCACCTGCACAAGGCCGCACCCTGGGCTCTGCTGGGTATCACAAGCAAGACCAGCCCACACTTACCATCACCCACCCCACATGGAGACTCCTGACATCTCAATGTAAGGCCTCCCGATTTTTTTCCAGGCATTTCTGTAGAGATTTCAAATAAAATTGGGTTCTTGCCGCACATCCTGTTTGCTGTTCTCTTCTCACACTGTACTTTCTCACGTTATTAGAATTCCTCAAAACCATGATTTTTAATTGTTTAACTTAGCATTCTGGATATATTTTATCATTGTCCTGCTTGCGAGCACATAGATCGTTTCCAGTTTTGTTCTATTTATATTCAATAGTAAAATGTATATCTGGGAGATGAACCTCTGTGCCTATCTCTGATCATTTCCTCAGGATAAATTCCCCAAAGGGAAAGTATATTTTTTTCTCATACGTTGTTGAGACAAACTTTTATCACAGTGACGTTCACAGTCGCTCAAAGCTATCAGTTGCAGGCCTCAGCCTACTCTCTCCAAGGTGCTTCTAGAATCATCCACTACTTTTTGTAGTGACATGCAGCCTCATGTGGATTTTCTATTTT